AATGTCTGTTTTTAAATGCCAAAATTAAATGTGTCATCCATCAAAAGCCATCTTTTTTTTAGTAATGCAGATTTTGAGCCACTCAGAGCAAATTTCTTTGCCTTATTTTATAAAGTGTCAAGGCAGCTAGGATTGATCTGAGTATGAAAGCCATTACTTGTGGCTGGCTGGGCATTCTGATGATAGATGATTAATATCTGCTTCAAAACTAATTAAAGCGGCTGTCTTTGGCAAAGGAGTAGAAGATTCCTTTGGAAAAGACAGCCACTGTAATTACTGCACCTGAAATTCTCACTTAAAAAAAAGCAAAACTGTTGTCAAAAATGATGTCAGTGTGAATAGCTTTTGAAATGACTTTAAAGATGTGACTTGTCTTTCTGTTCCAGCAGCACCTGGATAATTCCTATACTCTGACAGATCGGTTCTAGAATGGCTCATTGAAAAAGCAATACACCTTAAAAAGTCTGTAATAGCTATAAAAAGTGGTTCTGCTCAACACAGTATTGTATTTCCATGCTGCACTGAATAACAACAAAGGAACTTGATTACTCCAGGTGTATTCCAAGAGGATTTAAACTAAAATGTACTGAGGCAAATAAAGGTAATTAAACATGAGAAACTGATGAGATTCAAGTGGAGAGACAAAACAAAAATGTGAGAAAACATCTCACGATAACGGCTTTATGCTCTGCTCAAAGCCCTTAAGATAGAAGAGCTGCGAGACTGAGGGGTCAAAAACGACAGAGGGTCACATGACTCGTTTAGCTTCAAATAGTTCCAAACAGCCAATTCAACACTGTTGTTTTCTGTCAGAAACAGCAGGATTCATGCCTCACACTGTGAAGAGTAAACAAAAAACTATATGAATTAAGTGTTTGATTAGTGCAGGAGAAAGACAGAAGAAGAAGAAAAAATTGAGAGCGTACTGGGGAATGTCTGAGCGCATGGCAGCCATCTGGCCGTGTGGGGAGATAAGAGGCAGCCGGTGCTTGGAGCAAAGGGTTCTTCCTCAGTTCCATTCCTCTATCTTCAGATCTCCATGTTTACCCTGCTCACCAATGGGACTGAGGTACCTCATTCTCCCTAATCCAGTCAGCATGCACAGCTCCTTGAGTAACGTCACAGGCTGGAAGGATGTTTATGTTTTCCAGGATCTTAGAAGTGGGGATAGAGAGTGTACAGAGAGATGGGAGAAAAGAGTGGAGCCAAGGAACAGTAAGGAGTGCTAGGTAGAGGTCTGAGAGTAACGCTCGCCTCCTCTGGGGGTGCTTTAATGATAGATAAAAGACTGTTTGCACATATGGAGAGGTAACGTCACTGATTAACCTCTCAACCCCATGGATTCTTTAATGGGTCCATCACTGCACACTTATAGAGACGATCTTTATTCATTCATCATGCACAAGCACATTTTAAATAGTTTTAATTTTGCTAAATACATCACACCAAATTACCAGGAAACGTGTATAGAGTGATGCACAAACCTTCCGTAATTCTCCGTGTAACCTAAATGGGCAGCCATAAAAAGATGCACGGGAATATTAAGAGCATTAGTTATAAATGGATAAACTGTTCTCTGTATAGTTAAATGAAGAGCTGACAAACAAGTCAAAACACTAAGCAATGAACCATTCTGCTTATTTGGTACAATATGATGCTTAAAAACAGTAAGACAATATCAGCATTGCTTTGTAAAAGCAAGCCCAGACTAGTATTTGAGTGTTGTATAGAATACTCCAGGATATTCACCAGAATAGCTGCAACTGGTTACTTGTCAACCACTGTTCCATTCCCAAAGATTCCAATCCTATAACACATCTCGGAAAACTTCAAGCCACATGAGAAAAACCTGGATGTTACTTCAGTCTCTGTGGTGTGTCATGTCATCCAAAACCCAACCTCAGCACTGAATTGAGCAATGAGGAGTGTCAAGCTTTCAACATATTTGCTGGGCAGTCGCTGTTCAGACTGTTATTGAGACCGGTAGTGCCACACAGAAGTTTGACTTGGTTTAGTGTTTTGCATCTTGCGTTAGCTAGTTTTTCCCTAGAGGGGTTCAGCTGCCTGAAATCCCAGACTCACCGGCAGGAAGCAGCTACGGTAATTCCCTTTTAACCGTCCCTGTATCTGTGTGTGTATTCAACTTTACATATGCTCCACGCTCCACCCCCGACCACCACCACCACACTCTCTTTTTCCTCCACCTGGAAAATGTGACTCATTTCTGTGAAAGTGTCTGCTCATGTAGGGGAGCACAGCGGTGCAGTTCAGATTTTCTGCAGTGTCTGGTAAGGTATCCAAAACCAGTGGCCTCACAACCATAGCAGCAAAACACTCCCTGTCTGATTCAAATGTACAATCAGCAGAAGAACCTTTGTAAATCAAAGTGAATTGTCTGATGGTAAATTTAACAAACAGTCTCAGAAGACTCAGCAAACATTTTTCACTCTGAAATCCTTCACATGAACTAGTTCCACATGTTGTGCCAGATGATGGAGCAGCTTGCTGTAGCATGAAATCACAAAGCCAGACATACTGTACTGTAATAGGATCCCAAGGAAGCTTCAAGGGCTGAGAACTAAGGAGCATTCATATTTGATTATTGTGCACTGGTTTACTGTTTCTAAAGAGCTTTAGCTGTTGTATGAGCGATGACAAATCAACTGAACTCATTAATACATCTACTCTCCTGTGATGTTGTAGCAAATTACAGAAATGCAAAGTGTTTTCAATGAAATTCTGAAGGCCTGAGAAATCAGAAACCTTTTTCTGCCATGAGTGGATTTATTTATCCTTATTTATATTGCATTTAATATCGCAGCTTCTTCAGTTTACCCAAGGACATCTGCTACAGTACTACAGTACAACTGGTACTCTGCTTATCATGACAGATAATGCTGGCTCAAATATCAATTCCCTCTGCAACATGTTAATAATCATCTGCAAAGACCAAGAAGTAAAAAAACAAACAAAACAGAAGCACATAAAACTTGAGCTATTTCAGATGAGGCCCCAGCGTCCAAGTCTCTTCAAAATGAAGACAGAGCTTATGATAGAAACCAAATCTATCAGGGGAGGAATTATCGCTCTGTGGGGAATTTCAGCCGAGGAAAAACATTAGCCAGACAAAATCACACACACTCATAGACACATATACTTCCACTGCCTCTGTGCCTGTGAATTCCCAGAGTAGATATTTCTGTTGGCATGGCTGTAGAATCAAAAGATGGTGGTCAACAGCTCCTGGCAGTATAGGACAGTGCTGAACACTGACATCTCCCACACACCCAGGAATGAGTTATTATAAAATGTTCAGGCAGTCTAGGCCTGTCTAAAGAAGTAAGTCAAAAAGTTAGGCTGCTTGTATTCACGGTGAACATGGGGGATGCCCTAGGTACCGATCATTCAGCCAATTATAATCAGAGAAAGCTAACATTTGAGAGGCAGGGTGATAAAGACCATAGAATACTATCTTTGCTACCAGTAGAACATGTAACATGCCCTTAAGGTGACAGTAGGTCTGTCACTTTATACAATGCCCATAAAGTCACTGCTGTGGGGCCAGTTCTTTCCACTAATACAACCCTATAATGTCACCCTAAGTGTCACTATATATATATATGTTGTACTATAAACAGAGATATTTAAGGTTTGAGTCAGTGGCTGGGCTAAAGGAGCTTGTGTCACTGTCAGTAAACAATTTATTTTGTTCTGTGCCCGTTCAGTTATGATGAAACCTATGTGATGTTTGTGTAAGATACACTGTCTTTGTAAACAAGTCTTAAGTGTTTAAGTGAAACCTCTTTGAGAATGATTACTTTCAGCTTTGAAATTGCTTTTATTTACTTTAATGTAGTTTATTTGGACCAAACTTTTAAAACGTCGCAATAGATGGGAAAAGGTGCTAAAATGCTTTATGAGCTCACAATGGCGCATAAACATCCATAACGTGTCCATATGGGAAGTCCCACAACATGCAAGAGCAGGCTACGTGGTGGTGTGGCACCGTGCGCGTCTGTCTGGGAACCTGCTACTTGCTTACCTTCCTTACGCGTGCGCGCGCGCCCACAGAGTCACAGACAGACACTCCACAGAAACGGCTGCGGGAAAAGCAAGCTCTCCTGCTGCACAACAGAAGAAGACGCGATGTTAAACACGAAATGCTCCCGTTTACCCTGAGAAGACAGGTGACAACAAGGAAGAGGCTGCTGAGAGAAGTGGATGAACTGTGACCGCAGCTGGCGAAATTAACCGGAGGATTTGTGACCTGCACGTGGGAATCAGCGCTGAAACGCGTCGGTGAGTACGGTTAACGTCAAGCTGAGCTTCTGGTTTAGAAACCACATTGCGCATAGCAAAGCTTTCCAGATGGAAGAAGTTTTATTGACGCATTGTAGCCATGTAGGAGCGGTTGTTTTCTAGTTATCGATTAGCAGTTGGTACTTCAGCTGCGTCAACAACATTTCAGGGACTTTACGGCTGAACCAGGACAAGTGCGCCCGCGCGTTCAGCTAATTAACTGAACGTGCCCGTTTGGCTGCTATAACACTTAACGTTATTAGTTTAAAGTAACGTCCCCCCCACCGTTTTTATCAACAAAATGCTGCTTTATAAATGTTGTTTTGGGCTTAAACAGCTTCTGTGCTGACAAAATCAGAAGTCGAAGTTAAATTGGTGTGTGGGGGGGGAAGGGGAATAGTTTTGTGTTCTGTGATGTTCATGGCGAACTGCGCCTTGTTTTGGGTCTGTCATTATTATAATTGAAGCTTGTCTAGGTCTGTTGACCAGCCCGTCCTCCTGTAGCATTGGCGTGTGACTTGGAAGTGCAAATATTCCAGTGAAATTCCTGTCAGCACAGACAGCAGGCGAGTTTGGGTGTTGTCCAATTTGAAGAGCTGGGCACAATGATTTTTAGGCTGCGCTTGGATCCACCTTAGTACAACCACGCTGAAAGCAGGCTTTAGCTCTGTGTGTCGAAATAAACTTTTGGTATGTTTGTGTCCTAAACCGAAACAAGCCCAACAACGTGTAACAAATGTCATCTATTTGGAAACGGCCTTGTTTTGACTGGCTCTCAAAAGGATTTATGATCCTAAGGGGTTAAAATATTGAGGCATTTCAGGCACATGTAATAAAAGATTTTTCTAAATATGAACCAATGTTTGAATCCTCACTATGAATAAATGCAGTTTCTCCTTTATTTTAATGTAGTTTTATTATCGGCTAATTGCTTGGGTTGGCTTTCTGATAAGTAGAAACACAGGATGAGTCTAGTTCTATTTAAGTGCTGGTATCTCAGAAGAGCAATTACTAAATATCTCCACTGCTGAATTTCTGTGACAGGTTGGGACCTGGAAGGCCTTTTGGTTCAGAATAGCTGTGAGATTCCTAATTCTACACTTGTGCCTCCCAGTGGTGCTAACTAACCCACTTTCTTTAAAATATTGCTTCTTCCTTTGCAGGGGTTCAGGGCTTAATTTACTTTGGAATGCTATAAAATATGAGCTTGTACCAGGCTTTCTCCCTCTGTCCACCACTTTAGCCTGTGTTCAGAGGACACATATCCTTGAAGGCAGGCATAAAGAGCCTTGTTTTTTTTAGTGGTTCACACAAGAGAAACAAAAACACACCTGGTGTTTCTGTTGAGATCACTAAATTTGGTGTCCCTAATCGCTGTGGTCACCCTTCCTGTCTCCCTGCATAGAAAATTATTATTTGCAATACATTATAATGGAGAAGTAGTAAAAGTTAGACACAAGGCTGATTGTTTTGTTTACCAAAGAAATGTTTGCTGATCATACATCAAGTGTATCATCTAAACGTACTATTTTGGCTGTGTACACTGCTGTTGCATTTTGCTTATGCAAACTAACTGTACATTCATTTTGTATTGTTAATACCTAAAGCCATTGCTCCAGTATATTATTGAGTCATTGTGGTGATGATCCCTGCAGTTGTGTTTGAGACATCTATTAGTAAGTGCTCTACATTTGCTTTTCTGCTGTTTACCCACCACTGTTCAGGCCCTTTCAGATGTTTTATTGCTATAAGGTGCCTGGCTATAAAAGTGAGCTCATTCGGGGGCCTGACATTTCGTTTGTGAATTCATGGTTAGCTCATGCCTCCCTGTCACTATATAACCTTCACCAACAGTGAAGATCCCCACAAACATGGATTGGGTCCTTACATATCTTTCTTTTTTGAGGGAAAGGGTAAGGCTCTAACCAACCTGCTGCTTTGTTTAAAGGTTTCTTTTATTTTGCAACATAAAATATATGCTTGTGGGACATGCAATGTATTTATTCATGTCTACCTTGTAGGGATGGGTATCTCTCCCTCTCACATAATTCGATATGCATCTCGATACACGGTCCACGATTTGATACAAAAACGATACAGAAGAATTAGTAAAGATATAAAGTGCAGTTCAGTGATTTCAATTGAGCTAATATTCAGTTTTTATTTAGCTTTTCTTTGAATGAGTTGGCTTCCTCTGAGCAATTTTGTGTTTCAAGCAGCAAAAACCAAGTGTGTAAAACATGTCTACTCTTTAACAATAGTGAGCAATGGGTACTGGTGCACAGTTAACCTTTGTACTGTGTTCAGCTGCTGTTTCACCTTATCATCCAGACCATTGGTTAGCTTGTGCCTATCATTTGTCCAAATTCCACATTTTCAACAACACAGGTATGTATCGTTGCAAATATCTTATAGCTTCAGTAAACGCTCCAATCTCTCAGTGCATTTCAGACAAACTGCTTTAATGTGCCCTCAAGAATAAAGTGGCCTACATGTTAAAGTAGTAGCATTCTGTCTGATTACCAGTTATGGGTGCTAACTTAGGTTTCCCCGTTCCCACTATTTGATCCCTGTGCTTAACGTAAACGTTTCAGCTGTACAAAACCGGATGTTCAATTTGATGACCTTCTTTCATGTAATTTCCAGTCTAGCCAGCATTGCCATGTCACTTGGATTTGGTTATGAAGAGCCCAGCCCTGCTGTCTTAAACATAAGACAAATAAAGGCTGGTTTTCACCTGACTGTGCTAAAATGAAGTGTGAGAGCTAGAGAGCAGCTCAGAACCCACTGTCGGAGTGTCACTAAAGAAGACGGAGCACTCTGCTGAATGTGAACAGAATAGTTAAGGAAGTTTGAGATGTGTTTGAAGTAACTTATAAAGCCTGGAGCTATTGTTTAGTATTGTAGTTTCCACTCCTCTGACTTTTTTTTTCACACCCTCACTTTACATATACAATAACAACAGTATAGCAGATTTGACATAGTTGAACAAATGTGATGCTTTTTGGATGTCTGATGGCAGAAAAACTGATCTTTGCTGACTGGCATGAACATTGAGTTTGTTCTGATGGAGGATTTGGTCCTGCATCTCAAAACTTGGACAGCTGACTCAGGCCTAAAGTCTTACCAGGCTTGAACAAGCTGTCCTACCCTTGTACTTATGTTTGCCTTTGCATTAGAAAGTTACAAGTTGTTCTGTTGTACATTTTCTACAAGGTTGTTTCAGAGGAAAAAGCCGTTGACTTAATGTTTTTCAATCTAGCCTTAAAGCAGAGCAGCACAGAGAGCTGTTTAACTCCTGTTTTAGTTCATGCCATTTAATGCAGTTTTGGAGTGGTATATTGTAGAAATATTGCTGAAGTTATGGGCCCTCTTTCACTTACTTAGCCTGTGTGTTTATGAAATACCAGAGTTTTTCCTCAGCAGACCTGGAATATGTAGCTATATAACATTATTCTCAGCATTATTGGCCCATTTCAGCATACATGATACTTTAAAGTGACTTAAAAGTTTTACGGCGCATCTCAAAACAGAGTTTGTCAGATTTATTTGCACCTTAATAGAGAACTAACATAGAATCTCATGTCTGGCAGAGACATGACAATAACAGCAGGGCTCACCTTAATCTGCCAGTTATTTAATGAGGAGTAACATTGCCATATGTGCAAGTGGCAATTTTGGATCCTGCTCATTCAAAGTGACATTGTTATATGGCATCACTTTCTAAAGATGTAATCTGTGAGTATGCGTGCACCATAAGAGTGGTTTCTGTATCAAGGCAAGTCAAGACCCTGTTCATAGCCACGAGTCAACAGGAAAGACGTGCATATTCAAAACCTGCATGTCACTGTCTCATTTGTTTTAGTGGTCGTTCAGTTTGCCTTATCTCACTAGTTCACTACACTGTAGCTCACTAATTCATGTATATGCAGTCAGTTTCTGCTGGATCACCATCTAAGTAATTCATCTGCCAGCATTCTAATTACACGAGCAGCAGAATAAATATACTTGGTAATTCTTTTCAAAATGGATTTTGTGCTTGTGCCAGCTGTCTATTTGGTTTTAAGATTTCATGCCTCTCCAAAGGAAATTAAAGACACAACCACCGATCAGTGTGAAAAGGCCCATATTAGCTGCTGGTCTTTTGGGCCCCCTTCCTCTGCTTTTGCGGCTTCTGCTACTGTGGCAGGTTCCTTTGAGCTGGAGAACCAGACCGTGTAGATGCTTAAAGAAGTGACTGTGCACCTCTCGCACAGGTCCACAGCCCCCCCCACCCCCGAACAAGAGTGAAGCACGGGAACAGTGTTACTATGGCCGCTTGGCAAGACACAACCACAGTTAATGAAGTGGTTTTTAAAAGGGGTTGCACTCGAAATGGGGTGCTAAGCAGCTGTAAAATATATGCATGTCATTTTCACAGCCACTGTGTCTCACCGGCTTTCTCCAGTACAGCTGCACAGCCCTGAAACGTGCGCATTGCATAAGACCGCTCAAAGTTCAACCTTAAGCTACAGTATATGCATCGCAGCTGGATACAGTTCACTGCCTGGAGGCTCCTGTTTGCTGCTTCCTCTTCTTCCTTTTTGTTTTCTCCTCACATCCTCCGTCCTTCTTGCCATGCTTCAGTGGGTCACCTGAGGGGGGATATGCACTCCCTCTTGTCTGGTTACAGCTTGCAGAGAGAAGTGGGCAGCCTTACTTCTCAGCTTGAGGATGGTAGCAAAGAGTGAGAGGTGCTATACATTACAGATTCTACAAAGTAGAACTCTGCTGGGGCGATTTGCTACTAGATAGCAACAAGACCACCGACTTCTTTACAATTAACCTTGATTTTCAGGTTTAGTTTTCCTACTTGTACCTTTCTGTTAAGTGAGCAGGGAAGGAGATGTAAAAGTACAGATAACTAGGAGAAGGGTTGTGGTCCTCTGGTTGTTATTGTGAATGAGTATGAATACGGATGTGTACAGTATTGTGCATCTGTAGTCTGGTTGATGGATAACATGACCAAAAATGTCTGTGCAATTCTCTTAACAAGGCTTGAAAGCCGTGATGCACACAAAGGTTTAAACTACCATCTTTGGTAGCACGGACAGACAGCTAACCCCATAATACTGAAAGGCTTGTTCTATTCAGAGGATGCTGTCCAAGTTTTTTGAGTGCTGTGCTGTTTTGGTGTTTTGAGGTTGGACTAGCACAATACAGGCCTTTTTCAGAGCTCTGTATGACATAGACACACAGCTCAGTTAAAAGGCCCTGATTCCTTGTTCCTGCTTTTGATAGAGGGTTGAGTGGAAAACAACTTGGGGTTGTGATCAGAGGTGTCATATTTTTATGGGAAAAGTTTAATACTGTTTCCCAGCTGCTGTGTAGGACATCTTTCAAATTCCTAAGAAAGGTCCACTATTTATTAGCCTTTCCAATTACTCTACACACATTTCCAATTTCCAATTACTCTACACAAAGTCTCTTGGCAGGGATTTTTGTTTACAGCAAAGTCCTGCATTGCTTGAAAGAGTGGAGCAGATGGGTAGAGAGGGAGGAGGATATTCAGTAAGGCTGTAAATGGTCTTGTACAGAAACAAATGTGCAAAACAGTTTGTAAATGTGGAACTATTATGACTATAATTACAACTCCTTACTGTACAATAATTCTTTTACATGAACAGTAGTAAAAAATGGTGTTTACCTTAAAGCATACGTTTTTGTGACTACCTAATGATACGTATTTTGCCCTTTTTATAACTTATTTTTTTATGATTTCCTAAGTCTATATTTAACCTAATGCAGTTGGCCTTTCACATGTCTGTCTGGGCTTTTTACTAGTACATGTACACAGCATCTGTACAACATATATAATGGTACAGTGGTCTTGCGTTACAGTTTATCTTTGTAAAACCTGTAATGTTAAATTCAGAGAGGTTACGGTTCCACCGATTTTTGTCAAACCTCAGTTCGGATTATGCACATGATCTTCAACTGTAATGAGGTAAAGTATGAAGCCACCTCTAGATTCTGTCTTAGAAATTACAATAGAGCCAACACACACAAAAAATAATGGAACAATAATGGCTTTATGGAAGTACTATTTACTCAGCATGGCTATTTATTAGATTGCATTATACTGTAGCAATGTTATTATGTCAGAAGCTTTTATGTTCCAGTGCTGTTGAACTGTTTGTTCTGGCCTGATGCAATCCTACTTTAACAGTAACCATCATTCTCAGCCACTAATTTTGGGGGTGGAGAAGGTGGCTTGTGAACTTTATAGTCTTCATGTAAACGTTGCACTCCAAGTTTTATTTTATGATAGTCAATGAAACAATCTATTTGCTTATTCTCAGTTGCTGAATATTGATGTTAAAGGTCGTTGCACAACTTAGTTTTTGTGGTCTGTTGTTAATTAGCAAGCCAGTTTGATGAAGCCATTGTTTTTCAGTCTGGATTGCTTTGCCTCACGGTCGGGTAATTCATCCGCTGGTTGAGACTGACGGATAGTTTGGTTCATTAGGGTGACCCTTTGTGATATGTGGTTGTGGGCGCTTGTGCATCTGAAGAGAACGAGCTGGCGAGACAAAATTATTTTAAGCTCCAGAGTCCTCATGAGGGCATTTGGGCCTAATTAACCAATTTCTTTATGACTGTATCCTGCACTTAAGCACAGTTAGGCTCAACTAAGCACAGATTTCTGTGACACATCAGGCATACTGCTGTCTTTTGTGGTGTATTCCCAGTCAAGAAATATATTCACTAGATGTTGACTGTAATAACAGAAACATGATTGCTGTTCCGTATCTATGAGACCAGAGCTCTTAAGACCTTCAGCTAAAGTCATTTCATCTCTGAGTGGCAGAACACTGCAAAGCATTTAGAGAGATGGAGTGTTGAGACTGCCTGCAACATAGAAAGACACAAACATTGTACATTTTGGAAACCTTTAATCCCCCTGCCATTATTGTAACATGCCATACGCTGTGTGCAATAGAGTGTGCACATTTAGATTGGTTTGTTTGTACTTTGAGACTGAGTGGAATGACTGGTCTGAGGCTGTGAACACACAAAAGATTGAAGCTTTTGAAACTTTCACTGTTCTTTAACAATGATTTCTCCTGCTCGCGGCGCTTTAGCCTCACTGTGTTTATACCAGATGTGATTCACCCAAATTACAGACTATCTGAATGGCCAGATAACAGCAGAGATAAGTAAGAACATAAGTGTTTTTGTCATTTAAGAGACATTTTGAAAGCTACATTTTGTGTTAGTCGGTTCCATCTTTTCTGCTAATTTCATCAGCCATTTTCCTTTCTCTGTTCCCAGCAAAAAGTGGATCTCATCTTAGCCACTTACCAGCTGTTCACACCTGCCCTCTTCAGAGATGAGTGCCAAATCAGCAATCAGCAAGGAGGTCTTCATACCTCATGATGAGAAGATGCTTGCTGCTGTGCAGGTGAAGCGGAGGACCAAGAAGAAGATCCCTTTCCTGGCCACTGGTGGTCAGGGAGACTACATGACCTTCATCTGCCTCTCAGGTTAGAGAACAAATGAAATTTCATTTTCTCGTCTCTTTTCTTCTCTTCGGGATTCTGTGTGTTTAAACGGCTTTTAAAAATTCTATGTATTTGTGTGTGCATTATATAAACGCACTGTTTACATGTCAAGTGAACATAAAATAAGAGTCACTAGGAACTTATTTCATTCCTAAGTGTCTTGTCCATGCTGGGAGTTTGTCAGATATTGGCATGCACCATGGGGTAGCCTTCACTTCCCTATTATAATTGATACTTAATTAGCAATTGCGGTCTCCTAAGTTTGTGCAAAATGTCCCTGGACTGTGGTTTAAACCACACTATTCTGAAACCTCTTGCTAATAACTCGCCATTTATTTCAAAACAATTGAAACAAACTTCTCAGACAGACAATGATCTATCTGCTATTGGGCTCAGTCCCTGTCTGTTGGCATCGGCCCCAGATGATGCTTGTTGTTGCTAGGCTGTTGCTATGCAGGATGCTCTAGTGTGTTCATCAAAGCAACCTGTCAGTCGAAACTGGTCTGAACACAAATGTTTCTAACAGTTGAGCAAGATGGATTGCATCCTGCCAACACCTCCACTTGAGCTTTTCATGCTTCTTCCCATTTACACTGCACAGGGCCTCAAGCAGAAGAGCAGGCTCTGTTTAATAAGTTACTCACAACAAAGCTTTTTTTCCTGCTCACTTGTTAGTGTGTGCCTCAGCTTCAGTCACTATCATTTGTCCAAATCCCACATTTTCAACAACACAGGCTCGTGTCCTTGCAAATGAAAGTTCAGTTATTGACTTCAACCCAGCCACGTGGAGTTATTCACTAATGTTCTCTGAAAATAGCTGCTAACACTGGCGCTGTTACTTGCCTCAGGCTCTCGCAGTACACTGTTCAGCATGTTGCCTTTGTAGCATTGCTACTAGTGAGGTCCATGGTGCTCGGGTATACTCGACAGAGGTGCTGCATGTTCTGCACTCTGAAAGCTGCTAACACTATTAGCACTGTTTGCTCTTGCAGCTGCCTGTACTGTGCTCTGCGTTTTATTCCAGGACCTCCAGAGTTAAGAAGTAGGCCTACGATTGAATGCTGGCAGAAGATAGTGCATCTATATCAGTCTAATCCATATCAGTTTTAGACTATTTTTAAAATGCATTTGGTTCAAATGGTTTTGAACTGATGCAGCTGTAAATCTAGTTCTTGTATGGACTTTCTGATTTGGATCGGGTTATCTTTAATAAATGAAATACCCAAAGATATAAATTACTTAATCTGAATAAAGAAATTAAAGGCAATTAATGCAAGATAAATATTGAATAAAAATGTAAGAGAAGCCACTGTAAGAGTGGTAGAGAATAACCCCCCCCCACAAAGTATTAGAATAGCAGTGATCTAACAGGTGTTGAATTATTGGTTTACACTGACTGTATCAGGTGAATAATAAAAGCTGAATGTATTAGAGATCCACCCTTGACTAACTTATTTGAAACAAACACAGCATGAGAGCAATGCATGTGAGGATGTGATGTCAGGGCTCAATGAAGCAGTGAAATGTTCACAAGATTTAAAACCCAGCATACAGGAATTGTTACCCCTAACATGCTAGAAAATATGATAGTAACACACTCATCAATGAAACGACAATAATTGAACCATAATGAAAACCTCAAAGGGTAATCTGAAAGAAAGATTTATCACGTTCTGTTTACGTTTTGTAATTTTGAACTTTGTCCAGTTTTATTGATCAGAAGGGATTGCACGGTGCAGGGAGCGGGGGGTCTGGAAGTTCACATTTTGGTCTTGTCTTTCTTAGCAGTGTGTTTGTGTGCGTTTGTTGTGCTATTGCATCCAAAGACACATTTCAACATGTCTCCCTTGATTTTCTTGTTAATGTTCACTCTGATGAGCATGTTTACGTTTCCTCTGCCAATAGAATGATGCACTAAATCAATTTACTGCTGAGCTTTAGGTTAATCCTTTTTAAATACATTAGATTTACCCTGAAATTAAATAATTGTCTCATTACAAATTGATTTTCATTTTTCCCCCCTATTTGAGCATTAGCTGAGATATTGCATGCTAATTGAATTAGCTATGTGTATTATTCATCAGGATAATAGCTAGACCATATTAATTTGTGCCAGCAGAATTGCTTATGAAGACACTCCATAATCCAGCCATTTTAATGTGTGTTAGGTTCTGCTTTGTCAGTGGCAGATCACATCATAACAGCTTCAGAGTTACTTGATGGTAAATAGGAGGAAAATATTGTGTATCAATACAGGACAAAAGCCAGTACAGCTCTGTGTGGGATTATTTGAGGCTACTCTCCAGCAGTCTCAATGCTGAACACTTAGATTCTGTTCAGGCACAAACATATACCAAGTTATATCAAATTGAAGTCACAGTCATTTTTCTTTTGATGTGGAAACAAGTATTGTTTGACATGCACTCATTGCAGCGGCAGTCTCATCACGTCCCGAGCAGCAGCCTTCATCACTGTGCCCCGTTTGAGTGCCACTGCTCCAAAATCAATTAAAGTCACTAGATGTCCTAAGTGCTTAGTTTGCATGTTATAATTGAAATGCCTACATTATCTTGTAGCCTCCTTGAAGATTACTTATTGTAATTATAGCACAATGCATGACACGAATAGATTAGAAATGGGTCTTGAGTAGAAAGCTGCCGGTTTAAATTTCAAATGTGGTTGTGAAAATTGAGCAAGCAGCAGGAACTTTTTCTTACCTATAAGTCCTGTCCTACAGTATTTGAATCGTCTTTGTTTCTGCTTTGCTCTTTTCACAGTTACCCTGAACAGCAATACATTCTGCAGAACAGTACATGGTAGTAAATGTGAACATAGAGGACCCATGTTTATGACCCTGGTTCTCGGGCAGGCCCCTTACTGATGTGTCCTTCAGCAAATCACCATGCTCAGTTGTTCTCTAGGTTAGGCCTGCAGTTACCATCATCTAATCATTATTTTCATACAGTAAACTGTAAATCTTATCAGTGTGTCAGTTCAAACATTGTTCAAACATGATTTTTGGGAAAAGCGACAGCCCTAGTGTGTGCAAGTATAATCTGGACTGAGACTGATGCAGAGTCTGTCTTAAATCACTGGTGATGCACTGAGTTGTAGCCAATTCAGTGGAGGATTTATACCCTGGATCTATACATCATCTGGCTGGATAAGCTGGCTAGTGTCAGTGACTCCAACCTTGCTGTAAGGATGAAGAGGTTGGATTGCTCTAATGTTGGACTGTGTGATTTAAAGAGACTGTGGTCTGGTACACTCTTGCTTCATTTACTTTTTATATAATGCAGCTGAATAGGTGCATTATCTGTTTCAGTCTACAGGTGATGTAAGCGGGGGACGAGGCTCTGTGTCTTTTACTTTACTTTACTAAGGAGGCAAAAAATGGCCATTCATTGACTGTATCTTGCTGTATTATGAGCCGGGACATGGAGCTATATCATTGTTGTGCTGAAAAGCCTTTCATTGATTCAGTGTTAATCATTTTAAAGTGGCAACATGTTACATTCTATTACCCTTTGAAATACACCGTTCGGTACGTGTGAATGGATGTTGCATAATGTTCTAAAACGAATCAAGAAACTGCAGTTTGTGGCCACCACTACCGTCACCCTCTACAGGATGAACAGTATAGACAATGGAGAGATGGAAGGGCTACTATCACCCCCATCTCCTGCAGTAGTTTGCCTGTTAAGAATGGCTTTACTCTCTGTTCTGTATTAAGTCTCCTGACTGAACTGTTCTTTGTATCACATGTGGCAGCACAGTAGTGAAGGCAAGCACTGGCTTGTAGTTCACAAAGTCACGTGGTCTTTCTTTAAGCCAACCAAGCATTGTCCTTAGTTGTGCGTGTACTATGTGGCCAAACCATGTGTGAAACCAGCCTGCGCCTGCCTCCCAGCGTACTGGAGATTCAAGGCTGGTGTGGGGCTTTGAGAGTTCAGCATCTGTGCAACTATGTGAAAGCCTTGGTTATGTACAGTATGTAACAGTGGGGGAAGGGGGTCGATGACAGTCTCACTGCTATAGTAGCAGATAGCCAGAGGGCCACACATCAGCATTTATGTAATCTGTGGCATGTCATGGCTAGAGGAAGCCTACAGTATGAGGAGCTGTACCGTAGCGACAGCCACAGGTGCCTCACTTTCAAGTTGAGCTGGGTAACGGTATGAAACACCAGGGCATCACTACTGCTGTAATACACTGTTATAAGGTTTGACTGACTACGAGAAAAACAAGATAATTTTAATGATTAAGACTTGCGCTAGAAATACTATTACTTGCAAAGGAATAACTGTTGTAAAGTTTTCTGTTTGGGGAAAAAATAACTGCTTTCAGAAGCGTGTAATATGATGTTATGCAAGTGACAGCAGTGAGTCTGAGCTGTCTTTTTGACTGTGGATAAGTCTGAGTCTTTGAATTGGATGTTTGTTGAGCACATGGTTGTTTGTCTTGGGTAAAGAGCAAAACCTAACAATGGAATAAAGGGGCCTGGACATTTGCCACTTGGAGAGAGCAGTGCCTGTTTTTCAGAGTTGCCTCTGGCACCAGGAAAACAAGACCGGTTTGTCTCATTTTGCTGACTGTTGCATGGCTTCATTGTGAGCAGCACAACACTATTCTATTCTCTGTAGCAATAAACAGATTTCCATGAGTGGGAGCAAGGTTATGGAGCCGGGACTTTGGCATTGAAAAGAAAACAGTAACTGAAAAAGCATTCTTTGGCATTGAAATATTAGTATTGAAAAAAAAAA